AGTTTGTGATAAAGTCTCTGCTATTAGGCTTTTTCATTAATGCTTGAGACTCTGTTTGGAGCTCATATTTTTCTATTTCTGTGCATGCTTGTTATTTGATTGCAAGAGTGTCGAAAAAAGTGATGAATTGAGGATGTCAAAGCTGAACGTGAAGCCAAATGCAATGAGTTAAACTTTGATTATTGATGTACAAAGATAAAACATGGCCATGACTTGTGCTTGAGTTGTAAAATCTATAAGACCAAAAGAATACATTTCACATTTAATTTGATCGTGTCTATTGAGAGAACCACCTTAGTATATTTTAACCCAAGATTATAAGATGAAGCTCAAAATACCCATTAACATGAATGCGGAAGAATCTTGGAAACACTGACGAGGTCTCTAGGAAAATTCGGAACACGCCAAAGATTTTTACAAGCAAAAAGTCATTTTGGTGGACAAGTAGGTCCCAAAAACAATTAAAAAAAAGCATTGCCTGTTGATTAATTATAGTTTTCCAACATCTTATGTTGTTAAAAAGAAATAGTTTTGTAGTGTTACATGTTTCTTGTTTCATGGTTCCATACTTGATAAGCATTCCATACAATTATGACGCTATTTTGGCAGCATGAAGCTAAGTAGCTCAAACAAAATTTAATTTCCTTATCAACGATTTTGTTATCTGTAATGATCTTAAGTTTTCCCCCTTTTAACATGTTTAACTAGTCTTCAACTTTAATTTCCAGGTTAACACTCATTGCAATAAAGTCCTCTATTAATTTTAGCCCCCACTTATGTTCTCGAGGTGACTAATAGTCATAGTATGGAGAGCCTCGACCAGGTCAAAATTCACAGCGTCACTTTTTCAAATATGGTCCTTCACTAAGCACACAACAACAACAACAAGTCTTATCCAACAAACATAGAAAAAGAAATATGGTCCTTCACTAAGCACACAAACACAGAAAAACCTTCCAACAATTAGACATTGAAGTCTGAAGGAAAAGAAAGTATTATCCGAGAGAGGAATGCCACCCCATGTTTCCATGTTATTCATTCTGAACTGAACCTTCTGCTCTTGTTACAAAATGTTGTGGGTTCTTCGAACCTTAACTTACAAGCTCGCAAGTGCAAAACTCATTGTGTGAACCCTCTTACTGTGTAGTGTCTATGGTCTTTTTAGCTGATTCTTTTGGAGTTAGAGAGAGGAGTGCAAGCACAACTTCTCTACCAGACTCACTAGTTCCACTTCTAATGGCAATATCTTTTCTATCCATTGGCTGGTTTGACAAAGCCATAAAGGAAGAACAGAAATTACATCTTTAATTTAATTGTTTGAACGGCATTCAACTTTGAAAATATGAGATTTTTGGAGGGTCCAGGATTCAACAGGCCAACTTGAAAAGTTTACCTTGTCTTCTTTGCTGGAATGATCAACATAACTTTCAACAAAGCCCTATTGCCTACCTATTTTCTTTCAGGTCTCCTTCACAAAGTCTTGCTTGGTAATTTACCAGCTCAACCTGCGCCATCAAACAGTTCAAATGGGAACTGCGAATTAGATACTTTTATTAAATGAGGCTCTTGTCAGAGACCTTTATTGTTTTGCTCAAAAGTTACTAAATTATGGCTTTGGTTTCTTATTTTCGTTTCCTCTTGATTTCTCACCTTTTACTTCTTTCAGTTGGGTATAGAAATGCCAGATATGTTGAATTTCCTTTATCTTTTGATTGCGAAGACCTTGGGAGCCTGCAGTTCTCTTTCACCAAGCCAGAATTGCAGGGCTGTGGCCTAATAGTGGTTCATAACTGTGATGCTTCAAATAAAATGATAGAACTAAAGAAGAATGGATCAAGATCATTCTTGCAGCTTAACGGTGTCTTTCTGCAGTAAAATATGATTATGGTTTTTGACCAGGATCTACATAATGGTCTGCAATCCAATCGCTCTTGTGAAGCCTTCAACAACAATATCCAAATTCCTACAAGCTCTCCTCTAGTTTCTTTTGATATTAAATACAACATAAGCCTGTTTAAATGCAACCACAAACTCAATCTCAGCACCCCTACTGGTTTTATTAAACGTGCTTGTGCAAACTTCGATATCTATCATTACAGCCTAATCCTTGATCTTCAGCCTGACCGAACTAGCCATTTCACAGCATGTTCAACTCTTGTGCTCCCTAAAAAAGACCTGCTTAATAGCACAAACCTTCAAGCTTCCTTATCTACCCAAATGACTCTGGAGATACGATTATTTGATGCTTCTGAACAGTGTCACAACAGAGGAGGCTAGTGTCAACTTGACGAAAACAATAACTTCTACTGCACTAGAGAAGGTATATTCTTTCCAAATTATAATTTTTTTAATGTTGGTTTTTGAGACAAATATGTAACTTCCTAATTTATGTCTAGATTACTGTTAAGCACTTTTTACTTCCGAGATCAAGTGATTTTTCTTGCTCTCCACAGCAAAGCCTCACCTTTCTTGCAACCTCGATCATATGCTTCATATCCTCAAAATCGCATATTTGAAAGTGAAGTTATCATTTGCAAATAAGATCTCTGCTTACCTATAGATGTTGTCATGTGTTGACATCAAGAACGTGATAATGCTTTTAGACTTGAATTTTGTTAACTTCTCTCTTCACTGTAGAAATTCTATCAATGTTGCTTGTTAAAAAAAAACAAAAGAAACAGACAAATGGAGATGTCTTTAGTGTGATAATGTAAAAATTCTGCAATTCTCCGAGGCTTTCAATTTGAAATTGTTTTGCTCTGGTAACATATTTCCCCAATATTTGCAGTCTATTTCCAAGTCCACTCAACAGTCTTAGACACAGCTATGCTAACCAAAAAGTTTCAGTGTTTTATTGCTTTCATCTTTAGGCAATATTTCTACCTTTTATCATTTCTTTTTTTTAGATATACACATTTTTTAAAAAAAATCATTTCTGCATTCTTATTTACAGGAACAGAGATAAACAGAGAATGAAAGTAACACCGATTTTTGGCACTTCTGGTTAAAGTTGACATTAAGATACATTTCGATGTAATACTTCCAAAATATCTTCCTTGAGCACAATATTAAAGTTTTGAACTTACTTTTACAAAAGCACAGAATTGTCATTGAATATTGCTGTATGGTGCGGAAATAATTTTAGGCATGTAACTATTGAAGTGTTTATCATATTGAAGATCCAGTTGTGCTTTAATATTCCGGGGAAATTCTTTGATTGAATCCCTGAATGATCGCATTTACTTATGTGCATTGGAACTACTATTTGGTGGGAATCTTTTAATATGTATAATCAATATGGGCACTTTGAGAAAAAATTATAAATTTGAAAGACAGAGAATCGGGATTTTATATTTATGATCAAATATGACCCCCAATTAGCTCTTATAATAAGGGCCGGATATAGTATTAATTTTATGATAATTTCATAAATATGAATGGCCAAGCATATTTTGTAGACTCAAGAATTATGGGAATTCTGGTAGATCGTGGGTCTTCCATGTTAATGAACTATCGGCATTTAGTTTGGGGCACTTTAATTTATGTGACTATCTCGCGAGAGAGAAACTTCAAAAGCATTGAAAATTAGTAACCCAATTGTGGTTTCAATGGTGAAATGCTGCAAGCTTATTTTATATGGCTTAAGTTCTTACCCGGCCATGTCTGGTATAATTCAAAATAGCATGAAAAAAACACATGTGGGAGGATGTCACTGACTATATCCCCAAAAAATGTGTACCAAGTAGTTTTATAAGAAAGTTTTTGTTTTTTATAGGCCTTGAGAAGTAGATATCATGCAAAACCAAAGATTTTTCTTTTCTTGCAAAGCATAACAAGGTGAAACATGGGAAAGTTGTTAAAGGCGAGTATCAAAACATCAATGATAAGATAAGCCGATGTTAAGAAAGCATCTTCTCACAATTTAGCAAATCACAAAGAAACAAGATTATTTCCTAACATTAGACACATTTTGCTGGTCTCATATGGACAAGAATATGTATAATTTGGTTTTTTAGAGAGACAGGTTGGAAAACTTCTAAAGGCACCACTCCAGTCACATTGTAGGTGTTTTGTTTCATTTTTTTACTTTTTCATCTTTATTCATTTTTTTTAATTTTATTGCCGTTTGTTATTTGAAATCAATTTTTTTATACATTTTTTATTATTCTTTTGGTGTTATTTAAATACAAGTTTGTGATGCATACAAACTGAGCCTTGTAGACCTTCCAACAATGAGTAAAGTGGCGGAGATGCTTGAAGACAGAGTTGAGGCCTTCCAAGTGCAGAGATGCTGAGCATCAAGGAAGAGCTGTGGAAGGTAGATGTGAGTGTGTTAGACGTGAATCAGTAGGATATGAATCTATAATCTAATGTTACATGATCAATTAAACTGCACAAATTGACTTATTTAATAAATATGCGTAGCTTTATATCTTTAGCATTAGTTAATCTCTTTGACATCATCGTTCACCAATTTCCGTATCCTTAGTTCTCTGTTTAGTTTTTCCTCTCTACACAAATTCCAGGTTCTTGTCCTTCCATTATCACTTCATATGTCTGCGTGGTGTGGTCGTTCTAGCTAATTTTTTGGAGTTAGATAAGGACGCGCAAGCACAATAATCTTCTTTCCTTTACTTCCATCTTCAATACCAGAATTGCAACATCTTTGTCATCCAATCCATTGATCGGTTTGACAAAGTCATAAAGGAAGAAAAAATGTTTCATCTTGAATTTGATTGGTTGAACGGTAAGCTTCAAGAATCGTACGAAAAATTTTATGGGTCCAGTAATATTCAATAGGCCAAACTTGAGATGGAAACTTTGCCTGCAAAGACCCTATTGACTCCCCTATCTTATTTCACCAAGTCGTGCCTGGTCATTTTCCAAGTCAACTTGCGCATCAAACAGTTTGAGTAGGAACTGGAGGTTATATCTTGGGGTAGAAGGTGGAAACATGATTAGTGCAAACTAAATCATTACAAGTCTTTTGTTGGAGTACCATGGCCCTGGTTTCCGAGTTTCTTTTACTCTTGATTTCTCACCTTTTATTTGTTTCAGCTAGGTATAGATATGCCAACCGTGAAAAGTGTCCTAGATCATTTAACTGTGGAAACCGTGGGAGCATCCAGTTCCCTTTAACCAAGGTAGAAAGACCAGACCGTGGCTTGATGATGGTTCATAATTGTGATGATCCGAATCCATCTTCATAAAAAATTATTGAACTAGACAAGAAACCCTGGCTGCTTACTAGCGTCTCTTCCCCATTACTTGTGATTACGGTTTTCAACCTAGAGTTACACACTCGCTTACAATCCAATGGTTCTTGTGAAGCCTTCGAGAATAATATCAGTATTCCTGCGAAATCACCTTTGATTTCTTCTTATATCAAGGATAACGTAACGCTCTTTAAATGCCACCACCACCACAATGTCAGCAGCCCAATTGGTTTTATTAAACATCCCTGTCCTGGTTTTGATATATATCATTACAGACGAGACCCTAATCTTAAACCTGTCGAAGAAAGCTCCTTCTCAGCATGTTCAACTTTGGTGCTTCCAAGAAAGACTGGCCTGACAGCACAGACCTTCAATCGTTCTTATCTGCAGAAATGGTGCTTGAGGTATGATTATCTGATGATTGTGGCGAGTGTTACAACCACCAAGGAGGCTACTGTCAACTGGACAACAACAACTTTTACTGCGATGTTGGAGGTATATTCTTTCCCGGTGACAATTTTTTTAGACAAATATATAACTTACTCACTTACATCTCAAGTTTACTGTTATTCACTTTTTGTGAGGCTAACTAATTATTTTAAGGGGAAAAAAAAGACAATATAATACTCTAGAAATTGCTAAAAGACAAATCAGTGTAAGTGAATTTTAAAATTCTAATTCATATATCTTGTACCATTTTGAAATTTTGAAATTTTATAAAATTACACAAATCCCCTTTACTATTTTTTCTTTCTTGTTTTTTAAATATTACCACCTCAACATTTCCGGCCACTAGAGCCGGCTAGTGGCCAGCCGCAGCGAAGCTCTAGTGACCGGTCGTCGAAACTCTGATGACTACTCTTTTTTATGTATTGACTATTCTTTTTTAGCTATTGACTATATTTGTTTTTAGAACTTCAATGGCTACTCTTGTTTAGCTACTGACTACTCTAGTATTGTGATTAACTATTTTTATTTTTAAAATTTTGGTGGCCATTCTTGTTTAGTTATTGACTATTTTAGTTTCGCTATTGACTACTTTTGTTTTAAAAATTCAAAAAATGCATTAAGTGTTGTTAGAAATCTAGTGAATACTTTTTATTTAGTTACTCCCTCTATTTCTTATTATAAGAGATGAATAACAGAATTACGTTGATAAAAAAACAGTATGTTAAAATTAGTTAAAAACAGTCAATGTATAAAAAGTATAAATTTTTTCCAAAAATACCATCATTAATAAGGAGAGAGAGCATGAGAGAGAACAATTAAATTAAAAGAAAGAAAAGTGGGAGGGAGAGAGAGTGTGAGTTGGAGACAAAATAAATATGGGTAAAATAAGAAATCAACACAAAAAAGTAAAGATAACTTTTAAGTGTCTCTTATATATAGGAACATGTTATAAGCATTAAATGTCTCTTATAATAAGGAACGGAGGGAGTATTTACTAGTCAATGGCTATATAAAAGTGGTCACCAGAACTTTGAAAACAAAAGTAGTCAATAGTTAACTTAGAGTGGTCAATAGTTTTATGAAAGTAGTCACCGAGAATAAAGGTTGTGTTGTCATTTCATAATATTTTAAAATTCCCAAAATAGTACAAGGGATCTAATTTGGGATTTTGAAATTCATCTACCTTAATTTATTCTTTGTCATTTTTGAGAGTATTTTATTGTCTTTTTCTCTTATTTTAATGCTGACTTCGGCTTAATTCTTGTTTTGATTGTAGAGCGCGTAAGGGAAAAATTTTCAAGGTGGTGCTTGGACTAGGTAATATACACATCATTTAGTTCGTTTCATGCTTATAACTTTTAAATTTTAAACTTACATCTACATATCCGTTTCGAGTTTCATCTTCTCTTTTAGCTGTTTAATTTCCATCAATTTATTAACTTTAGATAATAATTCACTACAGAGATTTTCTTTCTTTTTGATCAAGTCATAAAACAAGTAATCTATCTAATCAGTTTACCACTTATAAACATAGTTGAAATAGTCCTTACGGAAACAATGGGATTGCTAATCAGTATTTATGTTACTCATTCATGTCATAAAATTTTGCATAATCAATCTTATTAATCACAGTTTCTGCAGTTGTAACAGTAGGAGTTTTTGTTCTTATAATCTGCTTGTTTAGAAGGACATTAATCTGGAAAAACAAATCTAAAGATCATCAAGATTTTGAGGCCTTTCTAAAGAGTCATGGATCACTGCCACAAAAAGATATAGTTACTTGGCACTACAACAAAATGTGTTATTTACCTCTCTCATTTATGTCTGTTTTAAAAAACAGAAGAGACTTCATGTCTGTTTTAAAGAAAACAAATGTTTATTACGTCTGTTCACGTCAACCAAACGTGAAGTAACGTCTGTTGATAAAAAACAGACATGAATTCACTTCTGTTTACACAAAACAGACGTGAATTCACGTCTGTTGATTAAAAATAGACGTGAACTAATGTTTGTTGCTTCATAACATACGTTAGTTCACATCTGTTTAGCAGAAACAGATGTTACTTCACATCTGTTTTTAAGTAAACAGACGTGAAGTAGCTTGATTTTAAAAAAAAAATTGCCCACAGCTAGCATCAGCTTCATATCAGATCAGTACCGCGAACCTCCAGCCCACAGCTATCTCGCGCAACAACTCTGATTTTTCGGTCTCTCCCTCTCATTTTTGTCTTCTACGTGCTGCAGTCGTGAGCTACTCAAAGATTTTTCGGTCTCTCCTTCTAATTTCAACTCTCTCAAGGCCGTAGCCCTCCCTCCATTGCCGTCACACGTTCTGCATCAGCTCGCCGTCGATTACCAATGTGAATCGTTGAAGTTCACACGCACAGCAGCTCACCGTCCTCGTCCTCTCTCCAGGCCGTGATAGTCTTTCATTCGAAGGCACGCCATAAGTAAGTTCATTCAACCGTTGCATTGTGGGTTTAGTATGTTGTACATGGGTTTGAGTAGTTTGAGGAGTTTTGAATTGGTTTCTGAGGTTGCTGTTTAAATTTTTATTGAAGAATTGTGTTTAGATAGTTTTAAATTTGTATAGATTAATTGGGTAGAAAATTTAAAGATTTCAAGCATTGTTAATACTTGTTAGAAAAATAATGCATACAAAGTGTTTGCCAAAATGCCTAAGAGGGATTGCATTTAGATAGTTTCCTATATGTATTGAATTTAGATTAAGGATTGGGTATACATTAAATTATTAATGAAAAAACTGCATTTAGATAGGTTAAAATTTGTTTACATTGATTGGGTAATGGATTTGAAGTTTGAAATCCTTATTAACTAACTTGTTTGAAAATTAATATATAAAAAGTGTTTGTCAAAATGTCTAAAAGAAAATTTTCCTATATGTATTGAATTAGATGTTGATTATATTCAAGAGGAAGCTTTGAAAATTGGATGTTTATTAATTGGATAATGGATTTGAAGATTAAAAAGATTGTTATGCATTAATTAGTTGTCAATGGAAAGCTTTGTTCTCATAATGTTTGGATTTTGTTATGTAATATGTAAAATCTCCGCTACTTGTAAAAGTAATTTTTATGTCCTTTTTAAAATTTTAGGAATTGCCATGATGATATAGTTACTGTGAGATGTTTTATGTTGTAATTGGAATGAATCGGATTTTTGATAATGACTGCTCATATACTGTTGATGATATTGACTTCATCCGAGACCTTTTGGCACAGCAACTGCTTCAAGAATGGTGGTCTAGGGATTGATCAAGTTTATGTTTATAGACATAATGGGTTATCAATTTTGACTTGTGCAATTTGTTCTTCTTTTTTGACTAGTTAGTTAATGTGTCAATATATTGATGAAGTTGTGATGTTGATATGTCTTGGCTGAAAATATGGATTGGTTCATTCTATTTCAACGTGCTGGAAAGTGGCTATTATGGCCATTGTGGATGTAGGGAAGTGGTACATACAAAGTGAATTTTTTTTTAAAAAAAAGAGCACATTCACGTCTATTTTAGGAAACAGAAGTAAAAAATCATACTTTTAATCTCTGTTTTACACCAAAACAGACGTCAATTTACCTCTGTTCTAACAAAACAGACGTAAATTCACGTCTATTTCTCTAATGCACTAAGACAGCAATAACATGGTAATTCTTGTGGACTTGTATTATGTCCTTCTCTGTCTATATTGTTAATTTACATCATTCCTTGGTAACTTTTCTGTACATGCTTGTTATTTTTTGAAGTTATCAATTGCAAATTAGGGGCATGCTTGTTTTTGTTCTTTGTTTTCTTATTCTTAAGAAAATTTTATAAAATTATTTTTTAGAACAAGTTTTGAAAACAAAAAAACAAAAGAATTTGTTTGGATAATAATTTTAAAAAATCATGTTCAAAAAAAAAAATAATAAAAAACCATACTTGATAGGTGATAGTTGTCGTTACTAATAATAAGTGGTGAATATTAGGTGAGAAAAGAAGAAGATTTCTTAAAAATTTTGAAAACAAAAAATAAAAAGCACAAAAACAAAAACAAAAACAAAAAAACATTTAAAAGTTGTTTTAGTTTTTTTGGTTTTTAAAAACATGTTATTGCTTTTTGTTTTTTAAAACAATCAACTAAAAACAAATTACCAAACAAGTTTTTTTGTTTTACTGTTTTTAAAACAAAAAATTGTTTTCAAAATAAGAAACCAAACAAGCCCTAGATTTCTGCTTACCTGTAGAAGCTGTCATGTATTGACATCAAGAACGTGGTAATGCTCTTGCACTTGTATTATGTTAACTTCTCTCTTTACTGTAAAAATTCTATGAATGTTGCCTGTTAAGAAAAGAAACGAACAAACGGAGATGTATGACAATGTAGAAGTTCAGCAATTCACCGAAGCTTTCTATTTAAAAATGTTTTGCTACGGCAACTTATTTCGCCGATCTTTGCAGTCTATTTCCAAACCCATACAACACTCTTAGACTCGGCTATACTAACCCAAGATTTTCAGCGTTTTCTTGCCTTCATCTTATGGCAACATCTCTACCTTGTATCATTTCTTTTTTGGATATACACTTCTTTTTTTATCATTTCTACATTCTTATTTACGGGAACAGAGACAAACACACAGAATGAATGACACCAATTTTGAGGAAGTTGAATCTATGTTTGATTTTAAGATAGATATGAACTTCCAAAATATCTTCGTTAAGACTTAAGCACAGTGCTATGAAATATTTTAACTTGTTTTCTCACTCTTATAGAACCACAGAATTTTATCATTGAATGTTGCTGTATGGTGAAGAAATTCGTGCTAGAGGATTTGCTTCGAGCTTCAGCGGAAATGCTGGGAAAAGGTGGGTTCGGGACGGCGTACAAGGCGGTTCTGGATGACGGAAGTGTCGCCGCCGTCAAGAGGCTCAAAGAAGCTCAGATTGGAGGGAAGAAAGAGTTCGAGCAACAAATGGAAATTCTGGGGCTACTGGGACATCCAAACATTGTTAATTTGAGAGCTTAATATTTTGCCAGAGACGAGAATTTGCTGGTATCTGATTACATGCCCAATGGAAGCTTGTTCTGGCTTCTTCATGGTACATCAATTTCAGGATGTGGATGTAGGGGAGTTTATTGTTCCAATACCGTATGTCAAACAAGTGATGGTATCATTATTTAGACATAATATCTTCTACTTTCAAGCTTTGATTCTTAAGCCTATGCATGATGTTAGGCCTGTCTTCAGGATGAAACCTGACACCGTTCCTACATTACAGCTGTCAAATGCTGGTGGGAGGCTTATAATTGCTTCTGATGGCATCTGGGATGCTCTATCCTCAGAAATGGCTGCAAAATCTTGTCTGGGTTTGCCTGCTGAACTTGCTGCTATGCAGGTTGTGAAGGTAACATGCTTCATAATGCTTTCTGCTAATTTTCGTCAAGCCAATATTTCTTTTAGACTGAGGTTTGACATAAGATTCATGTTGAACATATAACATATCTGATATTTGTGCTCATATTCATAAATGCTTAAGTCTGTAATTATTCCCCTTGTCATTCAGGAAGCATTAAGGACAAGAGGTATAAGGGATGATACAACTTGCATAGTAGTTGACATAATTCCTCCTAATAATGGATTGCCACCGCCTCCTCCCCCCAAAAAGCAGTTGAGAGCTTTACTATTCAGGAAGAAATCCAGTGATTCTGCTAGTAAGCTATCAAAGAGGCTTGCAGCTGTCAATATAGTAGAGGAATTGTTTGAAGAAGGATCAGCAATGCTCGCTGAAAGGTAATCTCACATTCTTTGGGGCAAAAGTTTTAATTTTTGGAGGGATCATGCAAATCTCATGGCAATGACCTGCATCATGGTTTTCCTGCTTTGAACATTTGTTTGAAATTTGATATAAGGAAAAAGAAGAGAGACAGATAAAAGGGAAGAGGATGATCTTTTAAGAGGAACAAAAAGAGAAAGAGAGAGAGGAAGTCACCCCAAGTTTTGAGCAGTTTTGAATGAGAGCTGTATTTTAGATGTGATTTTAACACGCAGATTATAAGCTTTTGAAATAGAAAACTTGTAGGGGCCTTTAGAGATTTGAGCTTTATCTTCTCTCTTATAGGGCCTCATATTTTTATCAATGAACCGTGCATTCTCTTGTAAGCCCAAGCATGTTACGGTTGATGAATAATTGAGTACATCATATAGAACCCTGTTGCCTCTAAAATTCATGGATTGTTCTTCCACGCTCTGCAACTTGCAAGTTAATCTCTGATCTCGGAATGTTCTGAAATTGCAATTTGATGAGAGTATTATGATTTTATTTGCCCGACAACTACGCCTGACTATTTTCTTCCAATTTTCCCTGGTTGATGTTCGTCGCATGATTGACTGGTATGAAAACTATTCCTCCACGAATTACATTTTCATTATACAACCTACTAATAAACGCCTAAATAACTTCAATTAGGTTTTGTTTATTGTTCACTGACTCTTTTTATATATCTTCTTTTTTCAAGCACATCGTTTTCATTGTTATTTCATAAATATGATTCATGAATACTTGAGCAAATGTTGCAGATGAGGGAACGAAGGGAATTCAGGGGAATCAACCTCTGGGATTTTTGTGTGCGCAGTGTGCCAGAAAGATCTTGCTTCAAGTGAAGGCATATCTGTTCATGCTGGTTCCATTTTCTCTACCACCTCTAAGCCCTGGCAAGGCCCTTTTCTTTGTGCTGATTGTCGCAACAAGAAGGACGCCATGGAAGGCAAGCGTCCTAGGGGAATTAGAGTCTCATAGCTTTTCTTCACCTGTCCATCCTCACTTCCCCCTGCTTTTCTTGTAGTCATGATTTTTATGGGGTCAAATAATTGCTTAGATCCCACTATTAAATAGTGACAGATGTATATGTAATGTTCTCAATTTATTAAAAAAATGAGCATCTCTTCTAATTCACAAATGAAGCCAGTTGTTTTAACTATTCCACGGAACAAATGTTACCCTATTTCAGCCCACCTACAAGATCCATTCTTGATTAGTGCCATCCAAAACCCAACACGTATACCCCTATTACGCCCAAATTAAGTACAGATACACAACAAATACGCAAGGATGTAAAGGGAATTGATATACCTCTGCCACAAAATAAGATGAACGCGAGGCTTAAACATATACTGTGTAAATAAACACTTAAGCACTGAGCGTAATTATCTCTTCACTCAAAACGTGAACCTAAGTTGTCCCTTTTCATCCTTCTCGGGTACATTCTTTTGCCCCTCTACTTTTTATCTCATCAGATTTTTGACCTCTACCTTTCGTCCCATTTTCTGCCGCTTGGCCTGGAAAAGAAAAATCCGAATAGGATATTAAATCGGTGGAGGCAGCGGTTGAAGGGTTGGTGAGTCAGATTAAGGTTAATTCAGATCAAGCTATTCATATGAAAATAATATAATTTAATTAAAAATAACAAAATATAATACCATTAATAATCACTAATAACAAATACAAGGACAACAATAGTTTGATTCTAATAATAATAAAAACAATAATTTCAAGAATTTTAATCTTTATAATTCCTCAATAATTAAAATTAATAATTATTGATATCAAAATTATCATTAAAATTTATTTAAATCTATAGTGACTAAGACATTAGGAGCTGAATGAGGAAAAATGGGACCAATAACAACATAATTATCCAAATCAGTTTATCACTAGTTTACACTGGTTTTGACCGGGTTGATACCGGTTCAATTCCTGGCCGGTTCATCATTTAGATTGGACCACTGCTAGTTCACCGGTTTTCTAATTGAACTGATCAGTCTGGTCCCTTTTTTTTTCCCTCACTGATCTTTTCTTCCATGTGTCTTGGTGGCAATAGTTGGTCTCAGCACAATGCGATCATCTCAACAAGATAGAGCAACAATGCATACATGCTTCATGCTGCAATATAAATCACTTTAACTTATTAAATATGTTTCAAATTGAATTTTTTTTTTAACTTTACCCATATTAAATGAAGTTGTGAAGAAGGGGAAAAAAACATAAGGAGTTATATTTATGCATTAATTACAAGAAAAATTGACAACTAAACATTAAATACTCTCTAAGTGACTTATATTTTTAACTAAACCATTCTTTTAGAAACCACTTATATTACCAATAAATTGTTAGTTGAGATGGTAAGGGCCTCACCTCCGTAAGAGCGAGAACGCCGGTTTAAATCTTGAGAAACACACTTATTGAGACAGTTTTAACCTTTACGCTCTCGGTGCGACAGAGACTAGTTTCAAGTCTAAAATGATTTGAAGATATTCTAAATTATACACACACAAAAAAGGACTTATATTGTGGGCCAAATAGGGTGTGTATATATATTTGTATGGAATAAAAATTTAAATTTTATTCGAAAAACTTAATTCCCGGGAAGCACGGTATGTGCTCTAATCAAATCATAAGATACATACCATAGCCGAAACTCTTAGGAGAAACCTCTACAATGACTGTTACATCGGTGATGCTAGTTGATGGGTGAATTGTGATAGTTGCGCTGATTAGAGATTCCCGTTGTATACTAGACATGGTCCTCTGTCACCACTTAGCTGTTGATCACAGGCTTGAAACTAAACTTATTTGAGATACTATCTTAAAATTAAGCCCAACGTTTAAAATAAAGATCATTATTACACATAAAATAACATAATTAAATTCTAGATTTTCTAGGTATTCCATTCTCCGTCAGGAGCACAAGAATGGAACTGATGATTAGCGTCCTGTCTGTTTCGAATACAAGAAGTTTGAGCTTCCAGTCTTGAAATGAACTAGAATTACAATTATTTAAGAGTGTCAAAAAATGTGATGAATTGAGGATGTCAAAGCCTAACCAACTATAGTTGATTTTACATTTGCTTTCATCAAATACCATAATTTTTTGCGGTTTTCAAGGTGGAACCAAATACAACATGTTAAGGTTTGATTCCTGACAGTCAAAAATTAGTTAGCCATGCTTTGTGCTTGAGTTGTAAAATCTGTAGGACCAAAAGAGTACAGTTCACATCTGATTTAATTGTGTCTATTAAGAGAACCTCCCTAGTGTATATTAACTTGAGATTATAAGATGAAACTCAAAATACCTATTAAGATGAATGCTAAAGAAACTTGGAGACACTAATGAGATCTCTAGGAAAATTTGGAACATGCTAAGGATTTTACAAGCAAACAGTGATTTTGATGGACAGATAGATACAGAGACAAAGCATTGCCTTCGTTGATTAATTATAATTTTCAAGCATGTTTTGTTGTTGTCACACAAAAAGGAACAATTTTGCAAGGTTACATATTTATGGTTTCATGAAACCGTATTTGATAAGCATTCCAAACAATTATGACGCTACTTTCGCAGCTTGCAGCATAACTGGTTCAAACAAAATTTAATTTCCCGGTCCAAGTCCGTACGAAACGCATTTAACCAGTCTTCGCCTTTAATTTGCAAGTCAACACTCAATGCAATGAATTTCTCCACTAATTTTAGTCCCCACTTAACTACTGGTGGTGACTAATGTGCAGTCATGGAATGGAGAGCTTCGACCAGATCAGAACACAGTGTCATTTTTCGAAACACGGTCTTTCATTGAGTGCCTCTTATTTTCTTTCAGGTCTCTTTCACAAAGTCTTGCGTGGTAATTTACCAAGTCAACCCGCGCGATCAGACAATTCAAGTTGGAACTGTGGATTATATACTGCGGAGAAGGTAGAAATAGAATCCGAACTGGAATTATTAACTATTGTTGGAGGCCTCTATTGTTTTGCTAAAAAAGTAGGGAATCATGGCTGTGGTTCTTGAGTTTCGTTTCCTCTTGGTTTCTCATCTTTTACTTCTTTCAGTTAGGTATGGAAATGCGAGGCATGTCAAGTGTCCCGGACCTTTTAATTGCAGAGAACTTGGAAGCCTCCAGTTCCCTTTCGCCAATCCAGAATTCCCGGACTCTGGTTTAATGGTAGTTCATAACTGTGATGCTTCAAATAAACCGATTGAACTAGAGAAGAATGGATCAAGATCATTCTTGCAGCTTATCGGTGTCTTTGTGCAGCAAAATATTATTTTGGTTTTTGACCAGGATCTACACAATCGTTTGCAATCCAATGGTTCTTGTGAAGCCTTCAACAACAATATCTCAATTCCTGCAAGCTCTCTTTTGATTTCTTTTGATATTAAATACAACATAACCCTGTTTAAATGCAACCACCAACTCAATGTCAGCACCCCCTCTGGTTTTGTTAAACATCCCTGTGCAAACTTCGATATCTATCATTACCGCCTGCTCTCTGATCTTCAACCTCACCAAAAAAGCCATTTCTCAGCATGTTCAGTTCTCGTGCTTCCAAAAAAAGACCAGCCTGATAGCACTGACCTTCAATCGTTCTTATCTGCTCAAATGACTCTGGAGTTACGATAATCTGATGCTTGTGATCAGTGTCATAACAGCGGCGGCCAGTGTCAACTTGACAGAAACAACAACTTTTTCTGCCTCAAAGGTACACTCTGAAAACAATCCTTGTGTATATTCTTTCCAACTGACGGGTTCTGAATGTTTTTAGAGGCTCCAATATGACCTAATAATTTAATGTTGTCCATGACATGGTTCTAACAATTTGTGTCTTTAACTTACCACTACGTACTGCGCCAGAGAAGGTATATTCTTTCGCACTGGTGATTTTTTTTTTTATTTAACGTAGACAATTATGCAACGAGCTAAATGATGTCTTTGGTTTGATGTTAGTCACTTTTTTTTTTCCCCTTCTTCCGAGTTCAAGTGATTATCTTGTTTTCTACAACAAAACCTGACCTCGCAATCTCCAAAAACAATAATTAGGGACGAAATTTAATATCGAATTTTATAAATTCTGTCACAAAAGGGGGGAAAAAACGTCACTGGTTGATTAGTTATGGAATTTGGTCGCTAAACTGATCTATGACAGAAATTTCATGACTAAATTTTATCACAAATTCATTGCTTTTTTTTTTGGTAGTTCAAATATTTGGTATCCTCGACTTCATATGCCAGAATAAGGATGTGATTTTTTTATTTGCTAGTATGTACTTCTTGATTCTGAATTTTAAATGATTTTCTTTGTACTTTATGGCAAATGCTGATCTTTCTTGCTAACTTCATTATATATTTGATATTCATATTCCTTATTGCGAAGGCTAACTAATTATTTTAATGCTAACTTCGGCTTAATTCTTCCTTTGATTACAGAGTTTAAGAGAAATAATTTCAAGGTGGTACGTGGACTAGGTAATTTACATGATCATTTAATTCATTTCATGCTTATATCTTTCAAATTTATAACTTACATTCCTCCATTGTGAGTTTCACCTTCATTTTTGGCTATTTAACTTCCATCAATTTTCCACTTTTAGATAATAATTCACAACAACGATTTTCTTTTCTTTTTGATCAAGTCATAAAACAAGTAGTCTATCTAATTAGTTTACCACTTATAAACATAGCTGAAAGAGTCCTTACAGAAACAATGGGGTAGCTAATCAGTATTTATGTTAATAAAATGTTGCATAATCTCACCTCTTCTAATCTTACCAATCACAGTTTCTGCAGCTGTAACAGTAGGAGTTACTTTTCTTATAATCTACTTGTTTAGAAGGACAGAAAAAAAAAATCTAAAGCTCATCAAGATTTTGAGGCCTTTCTAAAGAGTCATGGATCACTTGCCACAAAGAGATATAGCTACTCGGAGATAAAGAAAATGACCAGTTGTTTCAAAGAAAAATTAGGGCAAGGAGGCTATGGAAGTGT